CCTCTCTCTCTCTCTCTCTCTCTCACACACACACACACACACACACACACACACACACACAGTGACACACACACACACCCAGTTACATTAAATTGACATGCAGCTTGATTATTGATTTAAGCAATTATAGTATAGAGCAAAAATTTTCATTTGCTTAACCGGTAGTTGGATAGCATGTACTAGCTGGTATGATTATTGGTACTGTATATGATAATTAGAAAACACAAACTGAAATATACCACCTAGCAGTCAGTGAGTAACGAAATATATATATGAACATCAGTCTGATGAAGGCCTACGTCGAGGTTGGCCATAAGTTAACAGGATGAAAATATTTCAGCTTGTGTTTTATAATTATAATACAGGCACATCATATATATATATATATATATATATATATTGTGACCAATTTGACTTTAAATGTGCATGTTGTATACATGTATATACTAGTAATGGTTACTTTTGTGATATTATTTATAATTATTATAAATAATACCGTTTGTATTTCATATGTATTTACCATCTTGTTCCCCTATTTAAGATTGATGGGATTCCACTATTGATGTGACATGCAGGAATTTTAAAATCATTTGATTAAGTGTAACTGATCTAGTCAAATACAGAGTGGAGTAATTTTAAGCATACTACATGATCTTTAGTATAAACTGTTTATCCAAATATATATTTATGTTATTATATTTCTCACTTTTCTTTTATGTCTAGCACCAAAAGAATGAAAGCCTTTTGCCACCAGGGGAGTTCTTCATATTAAAAATACCAGAAAACTCAGAAGGAGATTTCAAAAATGAATCAACAGATCTTACAGAATCTCAGCTATCTGATAAAACCACTGAAGATCCACAGGATGAAACAAATAACGAAAAGAACTGCAGTACAACAATCCATACAGAAAACTCAGCAGATAATGTTAAATCAACTGAAGATACTAATGCTGTAGAGAAATCTACTGTGGAAAAAATATTAGAGAGAATACAAGGTAAAGAACAATTAAAGGTTATACTAGTAGACTATTTATTGAAGTTAATAGAATGGGTGATTAAGTAATTCAATGGAGATCAAAATGAGGCTTCACATAATAGCAAGTAAGATTTTACAGGATTTGGAAGTGAGTGTCCATGTGCGTGCATTCGTGTGTAAATTACTGCGAGTTGCAAAAACACATTTTTACACATGAAAGCAATTAATTGTAATTCAAACAATATTGAGAGTATTTAAAAACGCTACCGGTATTCTGAAATTTAATATATCAACATTGCAGGTAGTGAACTTGTTCTGGCTGAAGACTTGGTGATATGCGGATTGTGTGGCAAAGGTTTCTTGGACATCAAACAGTTTCTGCAGCATAAGTCTACACGTAAGTCTCTTCATTTGTATTTGAAATATATTATACATGTAACTATGCCAGTAATGGGGTGTTTTCTCTCTCTTTTTGTCTACAATCTCATATTTTATGGATGTGTTAAAAGCTTGGCAACTCTATTTTATTGTTTTTTAATCTGTATGAGATAGATCTCATGCATATCTTATTGATTGATATGAGTATATTCCCAGGGATTTGTGTATAAAGGCAAGATGAATTTGGATATGTAAAAGTCTGTAACATGATAAATTTCATTTCCACCTGTTCCACCCCTGGCACCTGCTCAGTAACCATTTATACTATTTTAGAATGAAATTTAGATCAGGTTATTTTATTTCTGCTTAGCAGTGATCATAAAAGTAATGCAATGCATGTTTGTATATGCAAAACTCTTTACAAAACATAATAAAACAACATTTACAATACAAACATCCTTTAAAGTCCTTTTTTTGGTATGTTGAGGTTGAGGAGGGTTTTTTTCAGTAAGATGAGATGTCTTGTTACTGAGTCAAATGACAGTTTAGTCCCACCTCACTTGTTGTAAGACATCACGTAATTTTAGTAATCTATATTTACATGGATATGTTTCAGATAAAACCTATGCCTCAAAATACCGCTGTGAGCTGTGTCGCCAAACTTTCTGCCGCCATGCCACACTGATGGACCATTATCAGAGAAGACATCGTACAATAGTGAGGGTCTCCCCCAACCTCGTGACCGAACCTAGTGAGGAAGAACCGTCCAACGAGAAAAGAAAAAGGTCAAATTTTAAGACAATGTCCAGGGGAGTCCAGGTGGACATCAAAGCCCCATCCCCAGGGGCTGATTTGGCATTTTCTGGGGGTGACATTGGCCCTCAGGTCAATAACTTAAAACATCTAGAGGACTCACAGCTGGACTTTCATTTCATCATATCAGTAGAGACCGTTAAAAAGAATCAGTTTGACTATGCCAGTGTTTATTTGAAGTGCTTACACTGTCGATTTAAAACTACCTCGAGGGCCAATCTCAGGACTCACATGAGAGCCAAGCATCCAGATATGATTGATATAAACCAAAGGATTTCCATAGGTGAAAACGGCACTGGGAATCACAGACTGGTCAGTATGTCTGAGTACAAACGCCAACTGCACAAACAACAGTCAGGACAGAGAATTGACAAGCAGGACGTCTTGGGCCAGTTTCCCTGTCCAATATGCAATAAAGTGTTCGGGAGGTTACGCTACCTTCGTGCTCACATGCCAGTCCATCGAAAAGAACTTTCATTCATGTGTGAAGAATGTGGTCGCCATTTTAAATCCCGTGCTAGTGTATATGCTCATAAGAGACGATTCCACAAGGGTGTCATGTACAAGTGCCCACATTGCCCTTTTAGAACTGGAGTCAATATCTTGTACCACAGGCACAAGCGTATGCACAGCGTCTCCCGTCGAGGGCAGATTTGTGACGTATGCGGAGAAGCCTTCATTCATTCTCATCAACTCAAGAAACATCTGTCTGTCCACGATCCAACCAAACCATACCAGTGTAAGATCCAGTCTTGCTCATGGAGATTTGATAATGAAAATAAACTGAAGAACCACCTGCTTATATACCATGCAGAGAAAGAGACTGAAGCTCCATCTAGTGTGGTGGAAAGTGATCACCAACACGTGGCGACTGAAGGATTGTCTCTCTCTGGTGATTCTAAAGCGGGACAACAAAATCAGCAAACAAATGTGACAAGTAAGTGTTGAGCACAATCTTTCATACCTTTATATATCTTTCATACCTTTATATATATATATATATATATATATATATATATATATATATATATATATATTGAGATGCTAGTTTTTTGAGAATTGTAATTGTTGCCTTTATGAGATTGTCTAACTTTGTTATATTTTTGTTATCAAATGCAAATATAACTTACAATAAAATATTTTTATGAGATATGGAAGTTTTATAAACTTCTTTTTTACACCTCTGATGTGCCAGTTTTCTGTCATCAAAAGAATTGATAGAAACATAAAAGATATACAGTGCAATTTAAATGATTTCATTATGAACCAATGTATATATCAATAATAAATTTGTCTCTGAAGATATCTAATTTTAGAATCAGTTTTATATTTGGAATGATTATATTTTTTCAGAAGATAACAGCAGTGGAAATGTGCCTCAACAAGAAGATGGCGGCGACCCACAACCCCAGATAACTTATGTCATCCAGCCTGAAGGGAGTGTGCCCCAGTTAACCAGGCAAAATGTGGTATTCACATTAAATCCTAAAGAGGCCGAGCCTAGCCAGCGACAGGCAGAGGGTCAGTTCGGCCAGGACGGAATGAGCATTGGCTACCAGCAGTCTGGGGAGGTGGACATACTGTTCTCAGCAATGGCAACTAGTCACTCAGGAACAACTGACCATTCCACAGATCATGCCACTGACCAGGCTCTGATGCAAGGTTTTAATAGCCTGACTCCAGCAGGCCAACAAGGAGGAACTTCCCACCCCAACAGCAATGTTTTGATGACAATAGCACAGCAGTATCGCAATGCCCAAGTCCTACTGGAAGAAGGATTTACAGGGGAACAGGTCCTTAGGCTCCTCCTGGAGAATCAGTCCGAAGGTGTCCTCAGTCTGGGTCAAGTTCAACTGCCCAGGCATCTCCTGGCTGACCCCAATGCTGACATGGTTGGGCAGCCCCGGACGTCCGTTCCAGTGTCTCAGTTAAGTGCATATAGCAGTCTGGCTGTGCTTCCAACAGTGAGTTCCCCTCAAACAAGCTTCAATTCCAACCCCATATTCTTGCAGCAGTTTCTGGATCAAACTCATGGAGCAGTGGGGCAAGGGGTGTTGGGGGAAGGCCAGGACTTGGGGGTGTACTCCAGCGGTTCTCTGACCCAGGGGCAGGTGCAGCAATTCACCACAGGAGGGGTTGGAGACGGTTTTCAGCCAATGGACACCCAGCAGTCAGAGGAATGTTTTGACCCATTGTTGCAGCATAGCCAAGATGCTGGAGAAACTATTAACACTTCTAATGGGACTTGACTGAAAGAGGAGAAATTTTCTATAACTGATATTCACCATATTGTAACAATAACTGAAACCCATACAGTTTGACCAATGTTTCTTTATAATATGTTAGTGTATTTGTTATTATTATTATTATTAATTTGTTGTTTTTGTTGTTAAGTTGTATTTTATTAATGTGTTAGTCATGTCAGCTATCAGGTACATTTTAATTATGTTCAGGCATCAGCTTGTGACTATTGTCATCAAGGTTTTTTTAAAGTCACTTTAGTTGAAATCGTTTCAGCCAAATTACTAGTTTTAAGTCTTTATTTATTAGTAAAATGCCAAAAAAAGTAGCAAAACACTTTATTTTTATGATATTTAGCCAGAGTTTTCTAAACATATGGCAAAATTCCCCAGGCAAGCGTAAATCTAGTTTTCTATATTGTAATGGTAGATTTTATGGTTGGAGGCTTATGTTCTGACTACATTACATGTGCTAGTAGTCGTATTGTAAAAGAAGTCAGATAAAATTGTGCATTAGTTCTTGAAAATCATTTCTTTGTAAACATCTGCACAGTTAAAGGGAGCTTTTATGTGTAATTTTTGTCTTAATTTTTTCAATTGTTTATGCTATTATACAAATTTCTTTTTAAGAATCAGAATGTTGTCATAATGATTCACTCTAGCCTCTAGAATATCCAAACCACAGAAGTCCTTATGATAGCGCAATATCCTTTATCAAACTGTCAAGCCCATAACATTTTTAGAATATCTAAAAGCATTTTTACACTGTTGTGATTAAATCAAACAATATATAATAACATACATGAGTGCATTGTTTTGATTTTATTGATACACATAGATTCTTGAATTTTTGTTCCTAAAATACGAAGAGTGATGTAGCCGATAGCTTATCTTTGAATCGGTAAAGACGTAAACGTCCACGCAGTGAGGTTAACTTTTCAGAACATCAAAACGTTCTTGCCTCTATCATAGACCGGACCAATGCATTGTCCAAGCAAACAGGGCGGTAACCGACCAATTTGTTTTACATCGGTTTTACACAGATGTACATAAGAACGAGAAGAAACACACCGATTGTGTAAGAGGAAATCTAATTAGGTATCTTCCCAAATGATCAGCTAGCTTGCAATTGATACAAAATATAGATGCTGGTGCACGGCCCGATTGATACGTCTCGATACGTAATCGTCACAATCTTTTTACTGTAAATCTGTAAAGGCAATGTAAAGGCCCTGACACACTACAGTGGATTGCACCAACGTATGAGAAAAGTTGCATCTACTTTACCTATACGCAGGAGGTACGCTAGCCATAGAAAGACGTTAAAATACCGTGGCCAATAGAGCTTGCCTTTGCACTGCGCGTAAGTAACGTAATGGTCGCGGAAGAGAAACGTATTGAGCGTATCTGTAACGTTAGATGAGCGTATTCAACGTATGCATGGCGCTTGGTTAGCGTTTGAAAACGTATCCAAACGCGTTGTAATATGTGATATAAATGTAGTGCCATTTTTACATTATCACCATGGCTCTACCGTTTTCTTCCTTGGTTATGATGCCTTTGCCCTCCGAGATACCCTGATGAAGCCGATATGTAAATACAATGTTTCACGTGCCAGTTGAAAATGCATTTGGCATCCTGCCAAACCGTTGCCAGGTTCTCATGACTACCATGAAACGTCACCCCTCCACTGTAAAGATCATCGTAAAAGTCTGCATAGTTTGCATGATTTAATTTGGATGCGGCACCCTGGGATACAGAACCCAGAGCTCGACCGCCCAGAAAACATGGCTTAATTGTGTTCCATTCCCTGGAGCAATGTAGACAGGGCAGAAACTTGGATGACACAAGTAGGTTTACAGAGAACAACAGAGAACAACACTTCCACCAAGAGAGGCAAGAAGCTGAGAAACCTATTGAAGCACTGTCAAATCCGAAGCAAGTTCACTTCCTCGCAAGACGGGATGACTTAACTCAAAAATGATCTATAATTAAGTGTTGTTTAACCCGATGACGAACTGTATTACGTATAAAGGTCAATATCATAACCTAAACCGAATAAAAAATTAGGCGCTGTACGTCATACTATAGAGCGTATTGCACTAACGAATGAAATATACGATGTATACGATGGTGCTACTGGAAATGAAATTATTTCTTATCCCGCACGGGACAGCACCGTCAGCGCTCCCTAGATATAAAAACAGATTGCACACAACTCATTGGTGCTACAAAGAACTGTAAAATAAATTAATATAACAACAAAGAACAGCATTAGCATATCGCGATGCCGCGTGTACCGCCGTCATTCAAAAAAAGTAAAATTACGAGATGTTAAACCAAAACTGGTCCGTTATGCTGCATTAAATGTGCTAAAACTGAATGTTTGAAGAATTGTGTAAACGTATGTTTAGTAGGGATGCTGAATAATTAAATAAATGAAATAATGGCAAAACATCGTTAGTAATGGTAGAGGTATATCTATTATCAAAAATCAAAGTAATAATAAACAACTTCACAATATCATCTTCGCTACGTTTATTACAAGCTCATTATAGGCAACAAAACGCCCAGTTTTCGCAAACGACGCCTGTCATGCTACAATGCAATTAAAAATCAATTGATTAATTATAAACAAATAAATGAATAATTGCTTAGAAATGGCAACATTCGGATCATCAGGGTTCGACAGCGGGGGATGTGACGTCATTTTGACAAGGCCCTACCCTCTGGGACAATTGTTGAGGCATAAAACGCTTCTGCTCCAGCACCGGTTGACACAAGTTCTCCAGAACGATCCGCTACAGCGGTCACTGCATGATGACGCCTGATTATTGCAATAACGTTGACACTGCATAATAAAACAAATAAAAGGAAAGGCCATAACTTTATGAACAATTTTTACGCATCTAGGTTTAACGCACGCATGTTTTAAAATCTATAAGCAAGCAGAACAGAAAAGCAGAAAATAACATCTTTCCTCGTTACACAACTTGAATGGCTAATTAAAAGAAACCAAAACATATACTAGTCTATGTTTAAATAAATATCATCAGAGAGAGAGAGAAAGAAAGAGAGGGAGGGAGTAATGGAGAGTCGACATACATTTAAGTCTATCTCCTCGACAAAACCACTTTGAATGGATAAGGATTGAGAGAGAGAGAGTAATGGAGAGTCCACATACGTTTAAGTCTATCTCCTCGACAAAACCACTTTGAATGGATAAGGATTGAGAGAGAGAGAGAGAGAGAGTAATGGAGAGTCCACATACATTTAAGTCTATCTCCTCGACAAAACCACTTTGAATGGATAAGGATTGAGAGAGAGAGAGAGAGAGAGAGAGAGAGTTGTACAGGTGTTAACTGCACTTACAGCCATGCTACCACAAGTGATTTTGTTATGATAGTTACCGAATTTCCCATGTATATGCTCAGAGCTTGGGTAGAGCTTACTACCAGGAGACAAAACACTAAGGTCATAATCGCCCACTTCATTCTGATCGGAACAGCCAGTGGAAACACGGATACCTGTCGTGGAACGTTTGATCTTCGCCAACTATAAGCACTCTCTGAAGTACTTGTTTCTCTCTCTGGCGTACGCGATGGTTGCTTTTATGCAGTCACTGACGTAGAAATTGCGGAGATGAAAGAAAGGCATATTATTCATATTCGCTTGATTAATTAATTGATTAATCCCGTATCAGACAGTTTTTATCAAAACAGCAGTGGTCTGGATTTTTCTGGCCTTAATCGTAGAAAAATTGAATATAATTCACTAATGTTGATTAGAATCAGTCATCAAGCATTTGAACTGCTCATCATGGAATATCAGTTTTATTTGTTCCGACTATTAATAAACTGGAAAAAATTACACGACCATTTTCCAATCGTTAAAGGACGGGTGCTACAGTTTGTAATGCGTTACTCAATACCTTCAAAATTACCTATAAACTTGTATGTAATAGCCGTCTGCCAAATGGAAGTCCCTTGTCATGGCAATATTATGAATTATAAATTTCTATTTCTGCATGGTCAAAAATTAGTCTTTTACAAAACCGGATCGTATTTGTTCCTAGAATGGCATGATACTTTGGACTCAATAACAAAAAAGATTTGTTTTTAACTAAATGATGAGAGTCTTACAGTGCGTTCTGTTCCACATCTGTATGTATCTCGATGGTGATAAGTTAGTTAGTTTCTGCTTTAACAGCTTACCTATAAACCATGGAAATCCTTTTTTCATAATTGTCTCCAATATGTAGATATGTAATGGGATTTGTTGGAGGGAAGGCTCACGTTTCACAGTGGTAATCCTCATTCAACATAAACCCAAGGACATCCAGACGTGACCAAGCGCAGGTGCACAAGGAAGTGAAAATTGTATAGACGCAGTGGCTGCCCCAGGGGGAATTTTTGGATCACGTACCCCTCCCACATAGCTTCGGAGGTACCCATTTCAACACGTCCCTCCCTGAAATCGGTATTAGCGGCGAAACCATGCAAGCATAACTAAGCGATTCGTCCATCCATATACCCTACAAACTAAAGTGAATTTGTCCTTGTCAACTACTGCGTTTGCCGAGAGAAGCTAAGAGCCCCCCCCTCCCCCCTTTTCAGACCTAAGGGTCTGTCCAGAACCATTTGGTCAGCAGACTAACTGGGGGACTTTTCTTTTCACCAGTTGTAGCAATTTATGTCAATTCCTATTTTATTTTTCTGTTTTCTATTTGCTGTCATGAATTGGTTCACTTTACAGTATACCGTTCAATTTGAACCTCATAGATGCTGTAAGACACGCCAAACTGACCTCTTACGATGCTCATATGCTAATGTGGACACTTCATTCACTATTCAATACACTAGTACTTTATAACAGCATGTAATGACAATATATTGTCAATTTTCATTCAAAACCGACACATTTGTTTCATGTTTGATTTTACGACATTATAGAAGTTTACGATTAAAAAGAGTTTGAAATTTGCTATTCCAAAAGCACGTTTGAGTAACTTCGGCACTTGTCCATAGAAACTATTTCTCCAATAACAAATCACTTTTCCTGGATAAGGGCACGAAATGCAAAAAGAATAAGTGGACACCAGGCATGAAAAAGTAAAGTTTATATTGATTATAAGACGCGCCTGGTGACTTTTTGGCAAGCAGGAATCTCTACGATGCGAGTAGAATGGCAACGGATAATACGACAAATTCTGTTGGAAAGCGGTCTCAAATGAGACAAACAAAATCAAGGCACGGATGAGTACAATTGAGAGGGTAAATGAATTTATTTTGAACTTTTTTTATTTCAGTTTTCTCATAATTTGAAATGGCAAGAAAATCTAAATGGTATGACCATTATACAGTAGCTGTCATCACTACCATTTTTGCAAACTTTCTACTTTCTAAGTTCAGGTAATATTCTGTTTAGCTTCTTGGAAACATTTTCCTTGTATTAATTTACACAGATACAAGGGACTTATCTGTGCAATTTTGTCTAAATTTCCTAATTTCTTTATGCTACTGCACATATTTCCTTTAATATTTAAAATGTTGTAATAATGATTCACGTTAACTTCCAGAAAATTAAGAACACAGAAGTCCTTCAAATATCAAAAATATTCTATATTGAACTTATAAAGCCAATAACAATTAAACTAAAACTACATTGTTAGTGCTTCTTAAATTTCTTTTCTGGTGACCCGTTATGATTAATTCAACAATTTACAGAGACATATGTGCATTATTTTTATCTTCTTGCTTTGCATGAATTGTTGAATTTTTGCACCTAAAATTTAATATTAAGAAGAAAAAAAAATGATACATTAAAATGAACAAAAATTAAAAAGGGTATGCTATCTATTACATACAACCACAATAAGTATAAATCACTTTCATTTAAATTTACCGGTAGTTCTCAAATATATAAATGTATATAAGAAATTTTAAGAAATAATTATATTAATAATGCTGTTACACATGTTCACATATTCAGGATTTTTAGGTCAAAATAAAATGAATAGAGGAGTTTGATTAACATTATGGATTCAACTGTTGACATCACTACCAAATATACAAAGATCTTTGGGAAGGTTTTCAAGGTAGGAAACTTAACATAAATGTATGTCTACCCCCAGAGCAGCATGTGCACTATACATGTAGAACGGTTCATAGAATCTTACTACTTTAGTCACCAAGGCTGCCGTTTTTATTAAATGAAAAAAAAAAAAAAAAAACCATGCTTAGACCCCCTTTACACTGGATGGCGTCCTTTCTGCGTCCCGTAGTATGGCCCCGTTTGAGAGTAAAAAAAAAACAAAAAAAATTTACATTCCCACAACTGGCCAATCATTGAGCATTCATTCTGCATCCAAAACAATGTTTGTACCTCCTTTCTACGACCACAGCAATGCCAGTTTCATGGTAGCACAAAGTACGCTGTCCAGTGTAAGGGTGGTTTTAGTAAAAACTTCCAGACCCTAATCTACTAACACATATGCCACAATGTACGAAGTTTAAGCATTGTCATTTCCTGAACACAAACATTCCTTAATTCACTTGAGCAACTTATTAGTATACAGTAATTCCAATGCAAGACAGGTAGTTTTAACCATATGAATTTTGCCACAAGCTTTATACCACAGCAAATGTTCAGAATAAAGGACCCTGTCATGGTGTATATCACATGCACAACATGACTGACAGTTACACCAGGCCTTTGTCTTTTATGTGCATCAGCCCTAATATAAGTCAGAAGAAACTTCTCTCAAGCAAGGTGCCAAGATCACCTTAAGTTAGTGACCTAAAAACAGTGTCATAACAAGTCCCAATGAAATGTTTTGATTTTTCACTAGTGTGACTGAATGCATCCTGGTGAATCCTTAAGATTCCTGGTGAGACATTCATAGTACTAACAAGTCATAATACATGCGTTGCATGTAAGCAAATTCGTTCATCTTTTACCAAAAGTAAACAGACTTTTTACTAGTTATCTGCAAAGATTCGGTTATCCTTTGATCAGATTGATTTAACAACAATGCATGAATGGGACCCACAGAGATGTTCTTGAACCTTTCATGAGTCCATTGGCGAGTCCATAGCAGGCCTTCTATATATGCTTTATGTGTACAAATGAAGCAGCTGACTCCCAATACTTGTTTAAAGGGATAACAACTCTTCATATGAGATCCAAAATTCCACAATAAATATTTAATACATTGTAAACAACACAGAAGTATGATTAATTCCATTTTGCCACCAAAATGGCAGTCATCACAATTATTCTGAAATGTGTGCTTGCCATCAGACCACATGGACCTTCTTCGTAGATGGATATCCTCTGTAATTATCTTGTAAGTGATTATTACAAAAAAAAAAAAAAAANGGTATACAGAAATCAGTTATCCGACTGAACAAATAGGGCCGGTTTTCCCCAACCGCCACGCATAGGCCCTACTCTCTTTCAAAATTTTCTTTCTTTCCTCTGGAAATGGACTTTTAACACGAACTTTTCTCTTCCCCATAGTGTACTAGCTAGACTTCTTCGCTGCTAAGCTGATGTAAGACTTATGACCTATTACCGCACACGTAATCGGCTTATAACTCATTAACTGTGCTCCGACCCCCTCATGGCAACGGCCCTTAGTAACAGAGGCGTGGCTTAGTTGTCAGCCTGACTGGGGCGCGTGCCGGTTGAAAAACTCATCAAAAGACACATTTTGCGATGCAAGTTCATAAAAATTATTACATCCAACGTTAGATACTTTTTTGATTAATATAAACACAAAAAAACTCAAAAACATGATTTTAAGCGTATTTAACCCTATCACCGGCCTTAAAAACAATTATAGCCCAACGTAAAGCCCATTGCTTGACCACAAGCTGGACACCCTGGGTTACCACTTGCTATTCAAATACATGACAGAAGCTTCAGTTCAGCAGAGAGATACAGATCTGCGTGAAGGGTCCAAGTCCACCGAAATCTGAGCATTACTGCCAACCATACTTTTGTACCATTCTTTGGAATGCAAACTTTGCTTCTTCCTCTGTGTAGGCGTTGTCGGGTCTGGCATCAAGACGAGTGTTACCATCACTCATAATCTCTGTGCGGATCTGCACTAAAATACCCTAGAGCAGAATGGCAAAGGACTGGTAAGTTTATTTCGGCAAAAGACATTTTAGTGTTACAGTCTATTTCTATTGGGGACGGGATTTTTCAATGGTTTTCATAGATAAATTCTCTTAAATGACCATCACATTAGATATAATGCTACCTGTCAAACATTCAAATTTATCAACAATGCTTGAATATGCCATAAAGATGGAACACACAGTCTCTTGAATGCTAGAAATTTTCTTCAATTGCCACAAAAACCATAACCATTGCTTTTATCTTCCACATTCATATTGTAAAAGCTACTGATATATAATTGGATTTTAGACTTTAAATAAATATTATTATTGCTGCTTAGAAATTATGCAATTGTGATAACAAAAATTCTATGTAGATCTACATTACATACAACAAAAAAGTATGCATAACTTTCATTCAGTTTTGTTCCCAGTGTTAAATTTCTTTTCTCAAAAGAAATTGAATGTGAATGTGTTAAGTGTACCTCAATGTCATTTGTTGGTCTCCAACCTGACTTTGTTAACAACTCCATACATATACTTCCTCCAATTGTTACATGACCTAGAATTGAGAAGAACACTTGCCCCCTCATTATTGCATTATGTAACTGCTGCTAAGAAAAGCAGGTTTTAAGTAAATAAAGCTGCTTAAATAAAATAAAGCTGCTTGAATTCCCAAAGCTGTCAGGATTGCTTTTTTTTCTAAAGAGTTTCAAGGACAATATGGGCATGCACATATATAGTTAAACCTTCTTTATTTTAAGTAAAATAAAATATCATTATTGTTATTTGGAAAAGGAGGAGGGGGGGTTTAATTATTTAAGTTAACAGATCAACCTACACTTGACTGCTTACCTGTAAGAAATTTAAATCTTGGTCTTGTTACTCTAACAAAAGGTGGATGCATGGGAAACTCCTGGGGGAACTTCATTTCTAAATATACCACAGGCTGGAATTAATAAGGCACTATTACAACATAACACCTCTAGCATCAGATTAGCTGCAACTAACGAGACATTTCTGTTCAAAAGACCTCTCAACAAGAAATATTTGTTCATTATAGAAATCCTTATTTCTGTACTAATTTGTCTATTCTTACATGTATAAACAAAGAATGGCAGATTTAACTTATTTTACCCTGGTGACCAGAGCTATTATAGTAGAGCTTATTTTACTTCAAGTGTGATGTTTCCTTGGGCGAGTTAAGCTGCTGATCTTAGCACCTACTTAACATTACGAATATTGCTCTAACATGTCAACTCACCTCTCTGTTGTATTGTTTTGCAAAGTTTTCTAAATCCTTTCCAAGTCTTGTGTCCTTAGGGAAATCTGTAAGTTTCACGTCCTAAAGCAAAAATATCTCAACTTACTGGTAATGTCAGAGGCAACAGATATAAAAAAGCTAATTCAGACAATGAACGAGATTTTTTGGCACTGCCAAGACAAACATTTGCAAACTGCACAAAACTGAATTTTCATTTGATTTCAATCAAACAAACATACTTTCTGACATAAACCATTTTCTTTAAAACTTCTAAGTCAGCTATTACAAGTTTTACTGTCTAGCAAATTTTTTTTCTGGAAGCGTTTTTTTTTTCCTGATTTAGTTTATTTTAATTTAAAGAGAATTACTGCACCCAAATGAATAAATTGTCCCCTCTTGGTTCTCCTACCACACCAAACTTTCCATTTGCATCTTTCATATTTTTCAGATCTGAAAATAAAACATATAAAAGTCTGTGTTTGAGAATTATGAGGAAAAAAAAATTGCAATAAACATACATTTACTGCAGCTTTTAAGATATTCAAAAGTTGTCATCTTATCTATATCAAGTAAAACAAAAGCAGATATTGAGCTGGACATCTTAGGCTGTATTCCCAGAGCTTTTAGATCGATCTATCCCCGCAGGGAGTCTCACTAGATTACTGTCAGATAATCCGGCTTAAATGTCCGTCCAGCCTACTACAAGCTGTAAGGGGGTAATTAACTTTCGTGTCCGCTTGGCTGACAGCTATTTAGCGTGAAAACCCAAGGAAGTTAGGTCGATCTAAAGTAGATCAATCTAATCTCTGGAAATGGGGTCTTAATGTTACTACAGCATTAAACTTTCCTACCTACATCCCTCAGTGATAGACGAGACTTAAAAATTCAAACCTCTCTCTTTATCCAGAGATTTTAACCACTGAATATCAAAAATCTTAATTCACTCAATTAAAAAAAAAATTCTGACTCCAACCAAACTTATCCTTCATCATTTTCGGATAAAAAGTAATTAAAACTTTAGATAAACTCGATAATTTCTTTCTTCTAATTTTGGCAGAAAGTATTACAGTAATTTCTATACCTATTCAATAGGGGAGAAGTTCTGAATTGTACATTTCTAAGGTCATAATTTCTTATAACTGGAACATTGCTATTGCATGGTTGCAAAAAATTCAAATGCAGGGTACTCTCTAGTTCTATTCTATGTAGTCAAAGAAACACAGGTGTCATATAGAGATACAAGTTTGTGATTATTAACTGTTCATATTGGCAAAAAAATGAATTTTCTTGGGGTAAACAGCAATTTTCCCATACTTACCAATGGTTAATGAATCCATTTCTACATTCAAAGTTAGTCCCTGTTTTTTCTCAAAAGTTTTTTTTTTTTTTGGTAATAATCTCTTAAGAGATAATTACAGAGTATAGCCATCCATGGAGGTCACGTGACCCAATGGCAAGCACAGATTTAAGAATAAATGCTATAACGGCTGTTTTTTTGTGGTAGAATAGAATATATTATATTATATAGAATCTATTGTATTTCTATTTATTTGAAATATAGATCTCATACAAAGAGTTGTTATCCCTTTTAATTATGCACATGAAAGTCTGGTAATTTTTGCCCATTGAAAAGATACATGTACTGTATATCATTATCCAATACCTTTGACTAGTCTGTGTACTGCTACTGGGTTTCCCTGGCCCATAAATTGTCTGTCTAATTCATCTTCTTCATCACTAAATCAAATAAAGATAGCATAAAGATCACTGGACAGAATTTAAATCACCAAATTTAAATGGAATATCTTAACATGAAAGTTGAGTATATAAAATGCACCTTATAAAGTGATAATGATTTTGAAACTTTCATGGAGCAGTTATACATTACTAGCAGTTGTAAACTTGTGATGGTTGTACTAAGTGAAGTACTGGCTCACAATGCATTTTGCATTATCACAAGTCAAACTGCTCTATTTTCACATATGTCAACAATGTCAATTCGTTCAATCAGGTCCAATATTGGGAACAGTTAGAAGCCATTAAATTATCTCAGTGACAGCTAAAAGAGTATAAGGCTGTATTCCCAGAGCTTTTAGATCAATCTATCCCCGCGGGGAGTCTCACTAGATTACTGTCAGAAAATCCGGCATAAATGTCCGTCCCGCCTACTACAAGCTGTAATGGGGTAATTATCTTTCGGGTCTGCTCGGCTGACAGCTATTTAGCGTGAACCCCCAGGAAGTTAGGTCGATCTAAAGTAGATCGATCTAATCTCTGGAAATGGGGTCTAACACTAGACAAGGGCAGCTAGACTGGATTTTGAATGCATTTTTTGAAACTATGTTCAACCCCTCAAACATATTCACTAACAAAGAAAATAGATTGAAATGCAGACCTCAAATTACTTCACCCCCCAAAAAATTAATTAATTAATTAATTAATTAATAAAATATACATCATGCACCTTAATGTGACTTTGTTTGCTGCACTTGCTTCTCCTTGACAGGCATCAATGTCATCATCTTCGTAATAATTGTCATCGATATCTTCTTCATACTCGTCTTCATCTTCCATATTTTCATCATCTGCACCCCCAACCGACTGAAAAGAGGCAATAAATGATTTTTCACAATTTTAATAATACAAGAGCTTTAAAACCACTGCACCAGGAATAAAATTACACACGCTATTGATAATTTAAAAGTGCACATGGGACGAATTACATTTGAAATGCTTCCAGCCTCAAATTATGGCACATAACACCTCTACAGGGGAGATTAACACCTGATCAACACTGTTTAATAGTTATGAAATGTTTAGAAAACGGGAGTGATTTTTTGAGGCATGTTTTCAAGTATGGTACTCCCAAAATTGTGCTGATTAAAATTATAGTGAACTTACTGGCTGCAGTTTCTTCTTTGTGTAATTCAAAACTTCCTCCACAGTGTGCTGTTTGCATCCAGACAGATAATCTGTGACCTCTCCCAGCATTTGAATAGTATCTTCTTGATCACTCCATATAAACTGAAATTTAACAAAAAAAAAAAAAATATTTCAGTTTTATAGTTACATTTCAACTTTACAAGATATATAGCACCTCAATATGAACAAGTTCTACTTTCCCTGAGGCTGTCTTTTCTTGCAAACTGACTTCCATAAAAGAAAACTTCTGTTGAATTACTGGCACTCTAACTGTGCAAATATTTAATATACATGTAGCTTTAGAAACTAAATAATATAATGGGAACCATATGGTTTCTTGTGCTCTTTGCAATATATAAAACATATACTGAATGTATATATAAAATATTTATAAAGATAAAGTTAAAATGAGAGTAAGTTAAAAATATGCCTTTAAAAAATTGTATACGAGTTCAGGGTATATAATGCAAAAAGCTTTTTTGGATGTTCTCTAGAGATTTGGATTGCTGCACGACAATTCTAGCATGCTATAGTTGGCAAACATACTCCTAAATAAAGTCTGAATGCTGCTTTTGGAAAAAGCTTTTTCCACATGCATGTCTCTTTTAAGATTAGAACTGATATGATCCCCATGGAGTTTGCCATGTGTCCCAAAAATTGTGAAAGCCTTTTCTAAAGGGACATACAGAGCAATTTTAGTGAAAAATGCTACACAAAAACAGCACTTTCACAACATCAAACACTCCAAATAAACCTGATCTATTTCAAATTCAATGTCTAGTAAGCGCCTAGTATGTAGAAATAAATATCTAAAAATTGCATAAATTTACATTCCACTATTGTAACATATCTTGCATGGCACATGACTCAGATACTAGCATATGAATTAAAAGTTGGGAGCAGTGTAAGAAAACTGCTCAACCTACTTCCCATCGGTGAAGGCCAAGCGAGCAGGCATACCACATGACTGCCCTAATTTAACAAGTCATTGCAGTAGTCAGTTCGAAGAAATACTTTTAAGCACAGAAGAGAGAGAAAAAGAAGAGAGCACAACACAAAACATGCACAAATAAAATTCAGTTTATAACAGAGAGGGCAATGGCATGTCAACAGAGGTAAATGTGATGTTAAATATATGGAGACCTTGCAGTAAGACAACATCAAATGATATTACAGCTACACTGGCTTGTTCTGGTAAGGTAGCCCTGATAGTATTAGTAGTAAAAGGTGCACATGCATAAAATGGCCAAAAACCGAAGTTAAAAATCGTGTTTTGATGAATAATATACACATCTAGTGGTGATGATTATTTAAGATACATAATTTTAGACATTGTTTGTATATCATCTCAACAACTATGGTAGCACTCCCCCTCGGTTTGTATTCCTCTTGAAGAGCTTTGGAATGTATCAATATAAAATTGTATTCAATCATTACCCATACCCTTTATTACAGATATACAATGTTGCAGTGCCAGTTTTCATACATGAATCAAAATTTAACACAAATGTTATATTTCATACTTATAAAAAGATGGGCTTATTCATAACATTTTATGATAAAATAACAACCGACTGTACTTGTTTTGAAAGGTGAGTTGGTCAGCTTCACCTTAACTAAAGCCAGTATCAGGGCAGACAGCTGACTACTAGCCAGACAGGTGTTAGCATGCTATTTCTAACTAGTATCTATCTTCTTATAGTTACATACATGATTGCCATGTTGGGTCCTGTTCCACCTTGAAATTAGATAGCTTTCTGTACAGTTTATATGCTGTATACATTTTCTGTAAAAAAAGACTGTACTTGGCCACACAGAAAGCTGACCTAGCTGTCTGAAGGTCCCAGCTGTTAACCAGGAACCTCCTGACTGTGTGAAAGTACCTAATAAGTCAATCTTGCTTGTTTATATTCTTGGACAATATTGAAGGGGTGGATCTTATCCCCAAACCCACTGTGATACTAATGATGTTGGTGACATGAATTATTGTAATAAAAAGCTTTATTTTCTGTTCTAAAGTCTGTCTCTATGTAGTTGAGTACGTGTCATAAACAACCAGAGTCTTCCATCTAGATAAAAAAAAAAAACACTTTGTAGTGTAAAACTAACATTTACAGGATTCTAATCCCAAATCACATAGCAGAATTCTTTCAGCACAGATCTGCTTCGTTTTGATTGAGCATTTTTTTTAATATAGAGGGTAGGTTTCTTGTCTGGTGCAGCATATAAGGGTGAATTTAACATGCAAATATTGAAAACGAAAGTACAACTACCTATGTCATGTGAAGCAATATTATACACCTGATAGCAAGTAACTAGTGACCAAAACTGGCACTGTAAGAATAATGGATGCTGCGTGGCTCTTTCAGGAGCCTACGTTGAACCAAATAAACTGAAGGAAGACTAAAATAAATACATTTTCTGCTTTATAAAAATGCTTACCCAATTTTTCTTTTCTCTTCCTGGGCACGTCAAGTAGAATGTTACAGATTTTACTTTAAAGTATAAACGTTCGTCTTTTTCGTCCGTCTGTGTGAGTTCATATCCATCGTTTAACCTTATCCAGGCTTCAGCGTCTTCTTTGAAACTATTAAAATCCATTGTGAGTCCTTTTTTGAAAATCAGACTGCTGGTCTTGCACACGAAGTGGACCTCCTGCGTTTTGGCTTCACTAACCTAATGGACGCATGCGCGAGGATTATTAGCCAATCGCGCATTCGCATCTTATGTCGTTGCGGTCTTATTCAAAAGGTAAAAGCATGAGATGTGGGTGTGCCTTATGTTGATATTTCTAAAATTTAAAGGTGCGCCTGATTTGGTCTTAAATTGCATTTTCAGATCACAAACAATCTTACATGGTCTTAAACCACGAGTATGACCATTACTGGACTCACTTCCAATTTTAAAACTTAAAAGTTGTTATGCATTTGTCTCCCCTCACATGTTATCGAGCAGGGCTAATCCTTGAGACTGAATGTTGTGAGCAGAGGTGTCCTCCATTGTGAGGGGAGGTATCCCCCATCGTGAGAGGAGGAAATTGCTTGACCATTCAAGTAGATGTTAGATCATTTTTGATCTTAAAAGCAGATTCAGTACATTTTAAAGCTATTGCTGTAATGGTTAAGAACGTGTAAGATCATTTGACATATTATCTAAAATTGCACTTTAAGATCAAATCAAGCGAACTAATGATGACATAGTGCGATCTTAATTGAAGTAGCGCGTGTCTACTAGTTGATATTGGCAGTTCTTTTAAGATCAAAGATGTCCAGTATGCAAGTGAGGTCGAATTTCTTGTCTTCGGCACTATGCTTAGTACATTTTACATAAAAGAAAAAGAAATGTAAGGATATAAAAAGTTCCCTTTTAATACATTCTATGTACCAGCAAACAGCCATTATATTCAGCTAAAATATTAAAATGTACAGGAAATATTGATTTCTGTATCAACCTCTTGAAATACATGTTACATGTCTGTTAAGAGTGTGTTTAAGACATTAAGTGAAGTAAATTACTAGTAAACATTAAACATATGAGTTAGAATTAAAAATTATTGAAACATACATGTACTGCTCACCCAATGAGAACAAACTCCCCTGAATGTTCTGTGATAATATACAGGTAATTACAGTAAATGCATTATCATTTATGCTTTTGCAGGTAGCATGTTTTCAAAGGCATGTATGTCTGCACCTGTTTGCCTCTTGGTGGCCATTCTGGTGAGACTTGGCCTGATGTTGTATGGAGAGTGGCAGGATAGGACCATGCTAGTCAAGTATACAGATGTGGATTATTATGTTTTCACTGATGCTGCAAGGCACATTATTGAGGTAGAGGGGATGGGGTTGAGTTGAATAAGGTACACCTGTCATGTTCATGGCCAAAAAGATAGTCCATATACTGTATATAAGAGTCTGTACATAAGGTTATAAACAATTTCTGAGAGCCTCTGCCATGCAAGGTATTAACCAAAGTACCACAGTTGTACAAATGAGAGAATTACGCAGCAATAATGCCAATGTGGCACATGCCAATCTGAAATAGAATTTGGGATGTGAGAGGTACCTGCATGCTTTTTCTAAAAAAAGTATGAATGTATAGGTACATTTAGTTTGTATGTATATGGTCATTGGATCACCCTGTTTTTTTTTTTTTTGTTTGTTTGTTTGTTTTTTTTTAACGTATATGCATTGGTTTGGTTACTAAAGTGTTTGTTATTACTATTTCAGGGAAGATCTCCATATGATAGAGCTACCTACAGGTACACCCCCTTCCTTGCAATATTGCTGACACCCAATATATATTTGACAGTCTTTTTTGGAAAGCTCATCTTTATACTATGTGATGTACTCACAGGGTGGCTCCTATATAAAATACTGCAGGCTCAAGGAGTGGATGGCCAAAAAGCATTGTGGTATTCATTACTTTGGCTATTCAATCCTCTGCCTGTGACGGTATCAAGTCGGGGGAATGCAGAGTCCATTATGACAACATTGGTACTAAGCACAATATACACACTTATGAAGAAACAGTACGTGTTGTCTTCCATACTGTATGCTGTATCGGTGCATGTCAAGATATACCCCGTTACCTATGCACTGCCCATCTATCTGTTGCTCAATAGAGATTATCTTCAAAAGAAAACTGCAGGAAAGGACCAAAGAAAGCGGACAGATTTTTATGAGCTCATTATTCCCAATGCAGCAAGGATCACATATTTTGTGATAGCGGGAAGTGTGTTTGTTGCTTTAACTGGAGTGTGTTACTTTTGGTAAGGGTTTGATGGTATGGTTTTCTTTTTACTTGCACATAATAACATTATTAAGTGTAAAGATTTTGTTGCGGTGAATGATTAAGAATTCTTGCCTCTACAGTTTTGTCCTTTTTGGGATTGAAATTGACTTGCAGGCTTTGTTCCATTAATGTTCACAAACACTTTAAGAATTAACTAACAGACGGGATAATTCATTAACTGTGATGGATTTGTGAAACTTGAAACTGGTTTTATTTATAAGAAAAAATGTTTTCCTTGCTTAATGATGAGCTTTTGATAGAACATGGTCTGTTTCATTTTTATCTGTGCAGGAATTTGAAATTTTCTTAAGGTTTACTATTGCTTACACTGAATGGATTGTATTTTGTAAGCTTTCAGCTGCAACTTCACTTTCCTTCACAACAACAAGACCCAGGCATACCCAGCTACCAGACTCGGCACCGAATGATCCTGAATTCACCAGTAGATCGGACCATACTACCCATTTTCAAGGTGTGCCTCAGTAAGTGCTTATAGAAGTATCAGACGCAACACCGCTCTTGCCTAGTACGTTACGTGATAGCAATGCTTCTGAGCGGGTTGGAAAGCAGTGCATCTCATCTCAAAATTTGTTCCAGATTATGATACAGTGAAATGCCTACTGATGCACACCTTGAAAACGAGTAGTGTGATCTGATCTAACTGTGAATTCGGGATCATTTGGTGCCGAGTCTGGTAGGTTGGTAGGCCTAAGACCAGACCAAAAGATTTGGAAGCTTAATAGTTCCTACATGTTTGATTTATGACAATAATTTATTTGATTTTTCACAGGTATGGAAACAAGTTTCTTTACGAGACCTACTTATACCACATTACAAGGAGAGACATCCGTCACAACTTCTCAGTGTATTTCTACATGCTGTACTTACTAGAAGAATCCAGCTACTCCTTCTATTTGGGACTGGGTGTGTTCTTGCCACAGATGCTGTTACTGCTACTGGTATCATGGAAGATGTACCACAATCTGCCACTTTGCTGCTTTGTCCACACTTTTGTTTTTGTGACATTTAATAAGGTGGTAACTTCTCAGGTAAGTTAGGAGTATTGTTTGTGGTGAGTTTGTTTGTAAGTGTATGAATATCAGTGGCGGATCCAGAGATATTTTCTGACAGTCTTCCATATTATCTTTGTTGCGCCATCCCCCATTTTTGACCATCTTCCGACAGAAAAAAATTGATACCCGTCAATGTAAACTTGAAAATCTGACCGTCTTCCGGAAGACTCAGAAGACAGCCTAAATCTGCCCCTGAATATGTATGTGAATGCATGCATTCATGTTAGGTGCCTGTGCTTTAACAACAGTAAAGTTAGCAATATAGTGTAATAGTCAGTGCTTTTTTCACACATCTTAATACGTCTGTGTATTAATTCGATTAAAATCCAATATTATATCGAGTCACCTGACAAGTTTTTCATATGAAAAGCAAATTTTGTTGAGACATCAGCTGTACTGAACTGAAGAGAAAAAGAGTCATTTTAAACATTTTCGCATCCATACAAGAGATATTGCATTATTGCGTGCAAAATTTTTTGCTGTAAAAATAGCATTTCTGTTCCTTTATTTAGTACTTCTTGTGGTATGGTTCCTTGCTGCCTCTGGTAATACCCCATTTGACCATGAAGAAAACTACAGGTGCTGGACTGGTCATTGCTTGGTTTGCTGGACAGGTCAGTCTCAAATTGCGATAGATGTGACAGTAGCAGATTTGGTTATCACATGAGTTATTGGTCAAGTTAAAACATTTTAACTCCTAGCAAAATAGATAAATAAATAAATAAATAAATAGACTGGCACAAGTCTTTTAAGTTACATTTCCACAATTTGAAAAGCCCAAATCTTAGATTCAAGTTGCTGTTTCACCATTAGTCAACAAAAAGTGAAGTATTTAGACATTTTAATAATAAGGTCAGACTTTTCAAACCATATGGTACCTATTGTAAGTTTTCTGCTGAACAAGAGTGCATTTGTTGTAGATAACAGACAATACTTTTGCAACTTTCATCCAGGGCCCCTTTTTGGTCAGTCAACGTCATTGCATGTTATTGAATTCACAAGACAGCTAATGTGAAAGTAAATATACATGTATATCTGTTGTATTCCAGGCATTGTGGCTGACACCAGCCTATTATTTGGAGTTCCAGGGAGTGCCGACATTTCTTTACATCTGGCTTGCCAGCCTGGTTTTCTTCACAGTAAACATAGTGATACTGCAGCAGATAATCTTGGCATATAAAAGGACTAATGATCAGCTTGAATATTACAAGCCAGATTGAAAGGCGCTCTCTTAGTACGAAGCAGTATGTACAGTGGAAACAACCAAATAAGTGGATCCCACTGAAACCACTGTAGCCTCCCAGTGTCAGAATGCTGAAGCCGTGTGAATGGAATACTCCACAACTACCAAGTTGCTAGCATTTTAGGCCCTTTGTTGAGTGGTCCATATTGTGATACTTCAAATATACTGTAGCTCAGCTGAATAATTTATGTATTTTACACATAAAAAGGAGGGAAATTCTGTCCTTGCCAGGTGCAAAGTAGATAGCAACTATAGTGATGACTCAATCTTTTCAATTGGGAAAAAATTTAAATTTTTCAGATACAGATTATCTTTATCAGTAAATAATATATCCCTGATAAGCAGTTGTGGTGCTTTTTATAAATAAAGTAGAACCATAGTGTGGCCTGCTTTTCAATTTTATTGCAATCACTCAGTAGTCATGTTCTACTCTTGAGAATTATTGCTAAAGAAAGCAGTATCTATAAAATTTACAATTTTCCCCATTGAAAAGATCAAGTCATTACACTATTTAGGTTAAGACTTTATACAATATATTTCATGATTGTAAAGGACAACAAAATAACCATGAACTTCAACTTTCTTGGTTTGTATTGTCAAAGAAAGCAGTAAAGACTCCACAAACATAACAAGACGGGGTTGATAATGGCATGAATTACAGTTAACACGAGAGGCAAACCATACAAAAAAAACTATCATGGCATTATAGGTTATTGGAATTATTCAAAGATTTATCACAATATTCAGTAAACCTGTAAATACAGGGGCATATATTATAATGTACTTTTCTAAGGAGTGCTATAACATGCATGTTCTTGAAGTAAACTGTAAAGCAGCACCTGTTTACACAGGAGTTAAATCATTTTAGGGCTCGTATTCATAATATATATTAATATATATATATATAATAGTGAAAAAATAGCTACATGTTAAATAGTTTTAAGGTGACAATTTCTAAAGTATTTAAATCCCGCGACCTGAAGAGGGTTTACACACATAGTACAGTTTTACTGGTATGCTTTTTTCTAACATACCAAATTGAACAAAATACATTCATTGACAAGTGCACAAAATCGAAATCATGTGATGAAAGTAAAACTCTGGTGCTGAGAAGTTCAAAATAAAACCGAAAATTACACCTGTGCTTCTTGTGCTCTGTTTAGCCTCTACTCTGTAACAGAAGTATTAGCTGTTTGTATCTCCTTTGCCACAAAAGAAATATAAAAACAAATGTTGAATGCAATACATTTAAGAGACACAAATGTCCATGGTGGTAAAAAAATTTAAATATCTTTTAAAAAGACAACTAAAGGAAATTAACTGTTCTGAGACTTTTCCAATAAGCAAATTTCACTCAAAACCCTCTACTGACAAATTGGCTTTGAAGCTCTTCATTTGCTGCCTAGAAACTAATTCATCTCATTCACATGAACTTGGACATGCATCTTTCAGGTTTTCTGCTTTTCTTTAAAATTTCATTCACAACAATAGAAATCTTTAACTACCCCTCTTCATGCCTCAACCATGTAAGGTAAAGCCATTAATCTTAAAATGTAAATCGATCACAAGATTTTATCTTGATATAAGAAAATTGGCCCTTATTATTATACATCTTGTATATCTATCATTATGTATCTTAACTCGTCCACATAAACTCCAGCCAATAATGTTCCCATCATGATCAAACTGTCACCAAATCAACTAGTGAAGAAAAATAATATTAATAAATAAATCCCTCCACACTTGGCATGACAAATATTTCTTGGCATATCTGTCTAAACTAAGTCACTATGACTACCCTAAGTATTATCCTGCTTAAGATCACTGTGGAGCAATTTCACCTCTTTCCCCCCTTGTGTTGGTCCCAGTTGATGAAAAGCCAATTCTGCATCCGACGATTCTGGGCTTCCTCCAGCACTTGTCCGTGTCTTGATAAGCTGGTGGTCGGGATGCTCCCGTTTATGATCTTCGAGCATGTCTTTCTCGGCAAATTGTTTGCCGCAGGAAGTGCAGCTGAGCTGGAAGCCACCATGATGGCGTTTGACATGTATCTTCAATGTACTGTTCTGAGCTGTTGCATACTCACAATGAGTGCACTTGTATGGCTTCTCCCCTGGAAAAAAATTAGTTTCGCCTTAGGCTAATATCTTCATCTATCTTTACAAATATGATTAAGAGTAGAGGTCTAAGGATGTAAAAAATAAAAAAGTCAGTTTTTTTGTTTTTTTTTTGCGTCTATATTCAATTAACAACACTGTTTCCTAAAAAAATTTAAAAGACAATGTAAACATTGACAATTTTGCCAAGCATACCAGTATGTATCCTGATGTGGACTTTCAAATGGCTGCGTTCCACTGTGGAGTAATCACACTGCTGGCATTTGAATGGCTTTTCACCTGAAAATATGGGCATTGCACAGTGGAGTTGAAAAATATCGCAAACACATCACTTTTGAGGAAAAAAACTTGGCTCATTTTAGTAAAGTAAATTTTATCCTAAGAAAATTTTTAATATCTATTTTCTTTAAAGCCATCAGCGATCTGGTTTAAAATTTTGACATATTATTTATGTTTAACAATGACAACCTATTCAAAAATTACATCTTAAAGTAAGCTCACCAAAGGAAAATACATTTAAATTTATTCACATACCATAATATTTAATAAACAAAAATATGAAACAAAACCATTTACTTTAAACAACACCATACATTATGAAACTAAAACTGTAAGTAAAACAATGAGCTTTATTTAAATTTATAAAAGCTACCTTGATGCTTGTACAAATGCTTCTTCAAATGTATCCTTTGGTTGAAAGAATTTCCACATTGGTCGCACTTGAATGGACGGGAGGTTGGGTAGCGCCTCTTCCTCTGTAGTGCTTTAGACAACAATGACCTAGACATCTGACTCGATGCCTCTCTGCTGCTTCTCTCCAAAGCTGCAGACATCGCGCCCTCTTTTGTATCATCAACAAATTTGCTTTTGTCTGCATCCTGCGAGATATCCGATTGATAGCTATCACTG